TTCCAACCTTATCCTACTTCACGAGCAGATATTGTGGAACTCAGAAACTGCTTTGCTGTGGAATCTTAATCAAAACTTTCTGAGAGAGATCATCATTGGTTTCATTGGGTGTTCCTTTCCTAGGGGGTACACCTAAATCACCTTGAATCTAGCCGAATGCAGTTAAGGCTAGGAGGTATTTTAATTTCTTTCTAAATTACTGCAAGACACTGATACATGTAATGCAGCTGACAAAGGGAAGTTCTCATTACAACAATGTCAGCAATAAACCTGCATAGATGGCCGATATCAAAAACAACTGAAATAAATACAGAAACTCAAGAGCTGATATTAAAATACTACAAATTGCCTGATCAGCATCTCAAAACTGCATATTAACCCTCCTGGGGGGGCGGGGGTATGCAGCTAATTGAACGAGCTTACAGGACAGCCAGGAAACAAGAAGATTGGAAACATGATTATCTGCATTCTGCATTAAATACATGTATCAAATAATTTGTTTCATAAAAAAAATTTAAAAAAATAAATAAATTGATAAAGTTAAAAAAAAGATTAACAAAAAGAGGGAATCAATCATTGATCTCGATATCCACAATTCTAAAGTTTTCAGCACAGTAGTATTTCTTATTTGAAAAACTTTGAATAAAGGGTTTCTCTCTTTAGATATTTTCACAAATTCAATCCTTTAACAAATCCTTCAAGATAGAGTTTTAAATTCATATTTCCAAATATCCATTTTATATTCTATAAATATTCAATCTAAAGGAAATGGATATTAGATATCCTAGAAATGGACAGAGAACATTTTCTCAAATTTGATATATTTGTATTGTAAACTAGACCATTGCAATCCTAGATCTGACAGTTACAATAACATATCTTTAAAGGTAATTTAAGAGAAATGTTTCTTTTTAATCTTGTTGTACCAAAACAAAAGACGTGGAAAATGTTTTAGATTTTATGTTTATATAATTAAAACCAAAATCACTAATTTTACAGACAGAGGCATAAATATATGGGACATTTTTTGAATGACTTTGTGACTTTGTACACAGGGTGAGTCAAAAAAAAGTGTGATTTGCGGCGCCTGGTTCAAATTTGTACTCTTTTTTAAGCAACTCTCCTGTATGGTGTTTTATCAATATTTTTTTGAAAATTTGTAATTTTTTTGGTACTTCAATGGCCCAAAAAAAATCTGCGAACCTTTTTTCTCTCAAAATCAAAAATTCAGAAAAACAAAAATGTGTAAATAAATTGTTACTATCGAAATCTATAATTTTTAAAAGATTTAATCATAGAATCTCAGAAAATTTGCAAAATTGTGATTAGAAAATTCGCAATTTTTAGTTCTGGTATATTTATTACGGAAGGATTGTTATGTTTTTCCATGGTTCTTAAGGTTTCAACTGAACAGCGTATATTTAATACTTTAGAATATACTAAGAAGAAAGGAACTAGAGAATTTAAATAACTTTTCCTTAAAAATTAGACCAGAACTAAAAATTGCGAATTTTCTTATTACAATTTCGCGGATTTTCTTTTGGGCCATTGGAATGCCAAAAAAAAATTACAAATTTTCAAAAAAAATATAGAAAAAAACACCATACAGGAGAGTTGCACAAAAAAGTACAATTTTGCACCAGGCGCCGCAAACACACTTTTTTTTACTCACCCTGTACATTTGTATATATTTATAAAATAGCTTTGGAACCCAGCGCTGCCCAGGTTACTAAGATTTACCCGCACTTGAACGATTTTACCGGGAAACTAAATTTTCGCTATTAAATTAAGTCAACCTACTAAATTTAGAAACTCTAAACCAAGCTAAGAACATTCCCATGGGTCTCCCGAGTTCACCAATCAAAAATTGAGGCAAATCGGTCCAGGGATTTCTGAGTTATGATCGGACAAAGAAACAAACAGACAGACACCCAAACATAGATTACATTTACAACTTTATATATAGATATAATATTTATATATATAAAAGGTGTTTACAGATATATATGAATAACAGGGTGTCCCACGAAACATAAGAGTTCGTGAATAGTTTCAAATGCCTTCTTCAATAATTTGTTAATTTGTTTGATACCAAAGAGAATAAGAAAACTTATTGCGTATGATATATATTATAGTATGTTTGATATTAAATATTTTTTAAGGAAATAAACTGCAAAAAGTCTTTGCTGTCTAATACAGTGTTTCGAAGAATATATAAATCTGGAACCTGATGGTGTGATATATATAAATCTGGAACCTGATGGTGTAACCAATGATATATATAAATCTGGAACCTGATGGTGTAACCAATGATTAGTAATACAATGTTATTCCTTTACATCCATGATTTTTATGAAGTAAATTTTTTGGTTATATTTTTATTTATCGAAAAACAAAAGATTGGATTAGATTTTAAAGAAAAGGATGGAAAGTGTAAATAATTTCTTTTATTTTTTTTCTCTCTCTTTGCTGGCTAAATCTGCAAGTGTTTCCCACAAAGTAAAAAAACATATTTTTCATCCTTAAAGAGAGTGTTTACGAAAAATTAAAGGGGGTATAGGTTTGCGGTGAAAAATTAGCGCTTCTAATCGCATCTAAGCTTACTTCTATCTGTTGCGTCTATTAGGAGAAAATTGCTAAACACGACTTATACTGAAGAAATTCAGAAAGATGTAACATTCAACTCGGATCGTAAACAATTCAATTTAATTCCAAAAAAATCATTCAGATATTACAAACAATGGTCATCGATTATTTTTCGACGCATTCGTATATAGTTACTATTTCATAATATTTTTATTTTTCATGATCTGAGAGTTACTTTTGAAAACATTTATTCCTATTTCGAGGGTTTTTGATAATGAAGACGACATTTTCATATTTTCCAGGAATGTTCGAAAATCCAGCGCATTCGAAATATTATTTTTTTTTTAAATCAAAAATATTATGAAATATTAACCATGAAAAGAATGCGTCAAAAAATAATAGATGACTTTTGTTGTTTAACATCTGAATGATTTGTATGGAATTAAATTGATTATTTTACGATCCAAGTTGAATGTTGCAACTTTCCGAATTTGTATGTACGCTACGTTCTTCGGTGTGGGTCGTTTTTTAACAATTTTCTCCTTATAGACGCAATAGATAGAAGTAAGCTTAGTAGCGATCAAATGCGCTTATTTTTCGCCGTAAGCCTTTACCCCCTTTCATTTTTCGAGAACACTCCCTTTCAACAGGCAAAGGTTTAAAGATGACCGTAAGATGACCATTGTAGATCGGGTATGCCCACTATATATATATATATATATAATTGAAAGACAATTATATATTTTAGGGAAATCTTTATCTCTTTTTCAATATATTTGTCAATATTTCGATAAAAACAAATTTTGCAGACTTTACAAGTTCCGATGCAAAATATTAGTTATTACGGGGTAATATTTCGTCTGATTTAAAACGACTTTATAAAGTTATAATAAGTTTAAAAAGTTAAAGAGTAAAAAAGTAGATGATAGTTCTATACATTTATTAAAAATGTATTTCGGTCTGGGTTGACCCTCGTCAGTTTTAACAATATGTTAACCATCAAAATCGATAAAAAAATTGTAAAAATTGTAAAAGATCACAAGAAATAAACAAACAAAAAATATTATTCATAATGAGAATTTGGGCTGCAGTCAAATGGACATAAGGGAAACGAACTCAGATTATAAGATAATTTGCAAATATTCACATCTGTTTCTGATTTATAATAAGTGTTGCCATTTAAAAGTTGTCGAAATTAAGAGAAATAATGAACTTACGTCAGTAAATCTACAGAATATAGGAAAAAAAGTATTTACAAGTGAAAAAAGAACAAATAATGGTTGATACTATTGAATCAGAGAAAGCAGTAGCTCTCTAGCATTCTCCGCCTTCTTTCCACTTTCTCTCCGCCTTCTCTCCGCTTTCTCTCCGCCTTCTCTCTGCCTCATGCGACGGGTTAATATTTCTCCTTTTATTCTGCGTAAACGACTAACTCTCTTCTACGTAAAACGGATCCTTATAAAGTTTGTTTATGAAAATATGTTTTTTTGTAAATTATTGTCAAAATGTTGGCTACTCAAATTATTCAGAGTGCTGGCGACGGATTGATCGAGGGAATCCGTGATTATGAAAAATTTTTAGTTTCCCGAAAAAAGAAGTTGTTCACAACTTTATCGTCTTTAGAAATAAAAAAAGTGAGAGTTTTTTGTCCCAAGGAAGTTTATGTATCTTAACGTCTCTCTGTATGGAGGAATCAGAGTTCAGTATTGTTAGTCAAAAAGAGTAAAAGAGATTAAAGGCTGAAGAAAATCAAATAAAATTAAATACAATATGAGAGAACAGGATGAGCAATCAAAATTAGAAAGAGGGAAATCATGGAGTAAAATTTAATTTCCGAGCCAGGTCAACCTTTCCAGTCCCAGTTTGTACTGTACCTAGCCCTACGGACAGGACTAGCCGGTGCAACAAGGTTGACTCGGCCAGACTTTATGCTTCATATAAGTTACATTTACTTTTACCAAAAGGGCAGAGGTGCGTGAAATCAAAAGAAATTTTAATGTCATAATATTCACAAAGCATACGAAGACAAAATAAAAGATCAGGACATTTTTTTGCTCAATAAATATTTAGATTTCTTAAAAAAAACTAATTAAGACAATTAAAAGCATTGGAAGTATGAGAAGTAAAAATAAGGCTAATGTTCCAATATGCGTAGTGTTCTAAAATGTCTTAATCTGAACCCTCAATGAAGAAAAAACAATTTTATTTTTAAGGAGTTTGCATAAACAACTACGTGGTTTAACTCTGCTATTTGTGAACCATGGCAAACATTTAAAAATATATAAGCAATCGTAAAGTATTTGTAAATATGTAAATTGTTGAAAAATTATTATTTTTGGAGAAAAAAAAATTTTAACAGCGAAAACAAGTACGTGTAATAATCCATAATTTCTGAACCCTGAAACCTAAACTACAAAAACAATTATGTGTTTTGGTAAACTCTATTTCAAGTTAAAATCATATCAGAGTTACAGCTCTGTGGATATACAAGGTGAGCACTGTAGTATTAAACCTAATTATAAAATCTTTAGCTTTCACCTTTCAATTCATATTTTTTTTAACTTTCAAAATATCCATAATTTTATCATCGTTTATTGCAAAGATTTTACTTTTTCCAAAGGAGCTGAATACTAGGAACGAATTTTAATTTCTAAATCCTTATATTTTTGCAATTATATTCAGACCTTACATATCTAAATTGTAAATTCATTTAATTCAAATAGTCTAAAGGAATTGAGTCTTTGCCACAAATTTAAATTTTCTAATCCCTATATCTTTTGCAACCTGATGGTGTAAACCTTAGATAATTTAAACTTAGATTATTTTATTTAACAGAATAAATAGTTTGAAATATCTAAGGACATTGGGCTGCAAAGATATGGGGATTAGAAAATCCGAGTTTGTGACAAAGACTCAACTCCTTTAAAACAAAAAATATCACCATCAGGGATTAATAAAATTAAGTTAAAGGGGTTTTTTAAATTACTTTGTAATTCATTTTACAACAGTTTGCGCAAAAATGAAACATCAAAAACTTAGAAAAGTTAAAAATGTTAGTCAACGCTGTTTTAGTATAGAGTAAATAAATCTCTATACGTTAATATATGCAAAATGATTTGGGCTGAGCTTGGTCTAAACTGACAATGTAAACTTTAAAAAAAGAATTAAATTAAAAGTCAGAAAATCCTTTGATCTTTCTACTTTAAAATTTCACTTGGTTTAAGCTATTAAAACATTAAACATGCAATTAAAGCCTTACTTAAAATAATTCTAAAATACTTTAAGATGTTTTCCATCCTATTTGCCTTGGTACAAGTTGGAGTATGTTTTGCCTTTAGATTTAGGTAAAATAAATTTTAATGAATTAATTTCTTCAGAGTTTAGTTGGATGGCCTATAATTGCCTGAATACACCTTAATTAATACTTAATATTATATTTTAGTTAAGAAGAATATAATCCGTATGTTAATCCTATAATGACCTGGATACACCTCAATACTTAATATTATATTTTAGTTAAGATGAATATAATCCATATGTTAATTCTATAATGGCCTGGATACACCTCAATCAATACTTAATATTAGATTTTAGTTAAGAAGAATATAATCCATATGTTAATCCTATAATGGCCTGGATACACCTCAATCAATACTTAATATTATATTTTAGTTAAGAAGAATATAATCCATATGTTAATTCTATAATGGCCTGGATTTACCTCAATCAATACTTAATATTATATTTTAGTTTAGAAGAATATAATCCGTATGTTAATCCTATAATGACCTGGATACACCTCAATACTTAATATTATATTTTAGTTAAGATGAATATAATCCGTATGTTAATCCTATAATNTTTTTTTACATGGTGAACTAATATAAGAATTATTAATATTTAGGGGTTCGCGGGAGAAACTTGCGATGATCCTGCATCAACCCCTATCCCTATCATAATTATTACTATTTAGGGGTTTGCGGGAGAAACTTGCGATGATCCTGCATCTACCCCTATCCCTATCATGATTGCTGATGATGGCTCGGTTACTAAGAAAACTGATAACTAAGTGTCCCTGGCTTATCGGAATAAATCTGATCTTTATCTGTTCAATTTGAAATAATATATTTAATTTGTAATTTACTTAATTTTAAGCATCAATAAAAGTTAGCATATCATTTGAATTTAATATCATATTTGTACCTTAAGATAGTTTTCCAATATAAAGGTCACTTATTGAGCTGTTTATATTTATCATATTTGTACCTCAAGATAGTTTTCCAACATAAAGGTCACTTATTGAGCTGTTTATATTTATCATATTTGTATCAAAAGATATATTTCCAACATAAAGGTCACTTACTGAGCTGTTATTTTTATCTTATTTGTACCTAAAGATATATTTCCAACATAAAGGTCACTTATTGAGCTGTTTATATTTATCATATGTGTACCTTAAGATATATTTCCAACATAAAGGTCACTTATTGAGCTGTTCATTTTATCATATTTGTACCTCAAGATAGTTTTCCAACATAAAGGTCACTTATTGAGCTGTTTATATTTATCATATTTTTACCTCAGATAGTTTTCCAACATAAAGGTCACTTACTGAGCTGTTTATAATTATCATATTTGTACCTTAAGATAGTTTTCCAACATAAAGGTCACTTACTGAGCTGTTATTTTTATCTTATTTGTACCTAAAGATATATTTCCAACATAAAGGTCACTTACTGAGCTGTTATTTTTATCTTATTTGTACCTAAAGATATATTTCCAACATAAAGGTCACTTACTGAGCTGTTTATAATTATCATATGTGTACCAAAAGATATATTTCCAACATAAAGGTCACTTATTGAGCTGTTCATTTTATCATATTTGTACCTCAGATAGTTTTCCAACATAAAGGTCACTTATTGAGCTTTTCATTTTATCATATTTGTACCTCAAGATAGTTTTCCAACATAAAGGTCACTTACTGAGCTGTTATTTTTATCTTATTTGTACCTAAAGATATATTTCCAACATAAAGGTCACTTACTGAGCTGTTATTTTTATCTTATTTGTACCTAAAGATATATTTCCAACATAAAGGTCACTTATTGAGCTGTTTATATTTATCATATGTGTACCTTAAGATATATTTCCAACATAAAGGTCACTTATTGAGCTGTTCATTTTATCATATTTGTACCTCAAGATAGTTTTCCAACATAAAGGTCACTTATTGAGCTGTTTATATTTATCATATTTTTACCTCAGATAGTTTTCCAACATAAAGGTCACTTACTGAGCTGTTTATAATTATCATATTTGTACCTTAAGATAGTTTTCCAACATAAAGGTCACTTACTGAGCTGTTATTTTTATCTTATTTGTACCTAAAGATATATTTCCAACATAAAGGTCACTTATTGAGCTGTTTATATTTATCATATTTGTACCTTAAGATAGTTTTCCAACATAAAGGTCACTTATTGAGCTGTTTATATTTATCATATTTGTACCAAAAGATATATTTCCAACATAAAGGTCACTTATTGAGCTGTTTATATTTATCATATTTGTACCAAAAGATAGTTTTCCAACATAAAGGTCACTTATTGAGCTGTTCAGTTTATCATATTTGTACCTTAAGATAGTATTGCATGCGATTAAAGAATATAAGAATGGATATTGAACATGGTTTAGAAGCTTATCGTTAATAATACATGATGTATTCTACATAAGAAAAAACTTACTTTTTTATTAATATATGTAATGAATAAAGCAATCCCTATATGTGTTAACCTAAACATACCAAGATGTATTATGATGTACATTATATAGCTATGTCTGTAAATCCGTCAAACCTGTGTTGTGATTAAACTTTATGATAGCTTAACTACGTCATATCTACCCACACTAATCTTGCAAATACTTACATTAAACTTAAACTACGCTGTATAGTGTATATATATATAGATATATATATATTGACGTAAAACTTGTAATTCCGGTGATTAACATTAACTTGTAACATCTGACGTCTTAAATAAAATTGGTTAATTTAGAAACTCCATACTGACAGTACTGCGAGAAAGTAATTGTTCCTTGTTTTAACAAACAAGTTGAGGATTGTGCCCATCGGGTTTGCATTGATAGTTACGAGTTAGTGTCCAGTTGACATTGATAGATTAACCCTATCTCTGCTGGGGTACTTGAAAACCAGGATATGCTGGGGCGGGTCAATTTGACCTCCCCCCCTCTAAATCCCATGTTTGATGTCTAAATATGACAAATAATACATCATTGGAAAGCTCTTGTGCCCTGCTTTTAGGATCTGCAAAAAAATTAGCAAATTTGCAAAAATTGAATTTCTTATTTCAAAATCCAGTTATATAGTAAAAATGTTTGCAAAACAATTTGTCCAAAAAATGAAAAATTATACATTTTTGAAAAGCCCTTGACCATGCCATTTCAAATATGCAAAAATTTTTCCAAAATTTTAAATAACCTGATTTTTAATCAAGAAAAACTAAAAATGTGCAAATTTCCTGTTGACATTGATAGCTGACGAGTTGTGTATGGATTGATACAGTTCTGGACAAAGTTTTACTGGTATGGCATTTACTACAAATACATTTTTTTAACGATAACTTGCTGCATTAAATGCATATTTACTTGCAAATAATCCAAAGTTTTTCACGTTGGTATATTGATGTGTAATGATGCATTGTAATTATTCCTGTAAACAAATATAGAATACTAGGCTTTTAGGGCGCTTCGCGCATCTTCTATTTAAATTGTGAACATGTTCTTTTTGTTTACATTTTAAAACAATGAAGAAAAAAAATTAGCGGATTTTAAAAAAAGTCGCGGATTTTTAAGAATTTAAATTTTTTTTACAAAATTTAAAACCTTTAAAACACATTTTTTAAATTTTTATCATTCATAAACCTTCCCTGTGGACACGTGATGTCCCACAAAAAATTTGGGCCCGATCTGTTCAGCCGTTTTGACGTTTATTGGATACAAACAAACAGACAAACATAAAGACAGACAAGCCAAATTGATATTTAGATACTAGGCTTAAAGGGTGCTTCGCGCCCATCTTCTTTTTAGTTTGTAAATAATTTCCTTTCTCTTTACCTAGTAAATGTTTGAGTTATTGGAAAAATAACTTGTACGATATTGCAGAGGCTCGGAATTGTCCGACAAATCTTGGAGGCTCACGGCACCCGCGGTTGTCCCTTCCCCTGTCGGCAGGCTTGTTTTTGCATCGTAACTCACAATAAAACATTTCTTACCATTACAAGTTCTGAAAATCTTCTTAACAAACATCAACATCTCTAATTTTCAATGAAAAATTGCAAGTTTTTAGGAACAAAGAAAACTTTACACTTCTCTGTGGAAATATCTAAACTTTTCTGATATTGCAAGGTGTTTTAACAGTTCGGTTCTGATCCTTACAAGTTCTAAACACAGAACAGAGATTAGAATAGAAGGGAAATTAGACTATCACTCGGTGTGGATTTGTTCAATCCCTTTGAGCCTGAAAAGGAGCTCAATGTTCAATATTCACAAGTTATACGCAACAAATCACAATAATACAGTATGATCTCTAAACATATCTGTTACAATTTCTTGTTTTTTATGAAGTTTACACTGAAATGAACTCCGGAATGTAAAGTAAAACTCTCGCTGAAATGAACTTGGGAATGCATGACAGGTTGCCAGAGAATTGATCCAGAGAAAATTAAGTAATTCTTAAGAAAATTGTTTTCGACAGAAAGATGTTCCTCAGGTATCAAAAGTGAGGAATTTCCCCAGATTCTCCAAATGTGGTGACTTTTTTGAAGAATTTCCAAGGAATTTCTCGACAATCATTTCCTGTAACTGGTTCCTCGGAAATTCTCGAGAAATTCCCCAGAATTGATCCCCAAGATGAGAGACTTTTGGGGAATCACAGTTTTGAGACTCATTTTTCGAGAAATTCCTGAGAAATTCCTCAGAATTTCTCCAAACACTTCTCCGGAAATTCCTGAGAAAATCTTAGGACTTGGTCACTAAGTTTACGGATTTTTAGGGGAATTAGATAAGAGAATTAGTTTCTAGTAATTCCTGGGAATTTTTCTGGAGTTTTACCCCAAAGAAATTTCTGAGAATTTCTTTGGAATACTTCTCTGGAAATTCCTGAAAAATTCTAAGTAATAAGTCACCATTTTAATGGATTTTTAGGAGAATTTAATAAGAGAATTAGTTTTGAGAAATTCCTAGGAATTTCTTTGGAATAATTCTCCGGAAATTCCTGAAAAATTCTTGGTACTAGGTCACCATTTTAATGGATTTTTAGGAGAATTTAATAAGAGAATTAGTTTTGAGAAATTCCTGGGAATTTCTTTGGAATACTTCTCCGGAAATTCCTGAAAAATTCTTGGTACTTGGTAACTAAGTTTAAGGATTTTTAGGGGAATTAGATAAGAGAATTAGTTTCTAGAAATCCTGGGAATTTCTCTGAAATTTTACCCCAAAGAAATTCCTAAGAATTTCTCCGGAAATTCTTAGGACTTGGTCACCAAGTTTACGGATTTTTAGGAGAATTAAAGAAGAGAAGAATTTTCCAGAAATTCCTGGGAATTTCTCCAAAATTTTACCTCAAGAAATTCCTGAGAATTTCTCTGGAATATTTCTCCCGAAATTCCTAAGGAATTCTTAGGACTTGTTCACTAGGTTTAAAGATTTTTCAGAGGAATTAAAAAGAAAAATAGTTTTGAGAAATTCCTGGGAATTTCTCCGCAATTGGACCCCAAGAAATTCTTGAGAATTTCTCTGGAATTCTTCTCTAGAAATTCTTAAGAAATTCTTA